AACGCATATAGTCAACTCGCACTGGACAATTTTACTAGCAGCCAATGCAACTTTAGTCTAGTCGGCGGAGATATAACAGGCACTTATCAATTTTTAACGGGTTTTTACGGACTCGGCGATATGCCAAACGAGTTTCAGAGAGTCATGGACTCAACTTTGGGAAACATTCCTTTTACAAATTGCTACCTCGACGATATATTAGTCGCTTCCAAAGGAAGTTTTAACGATCACAAGAAAATCGTTTACAAAATTTTATCAACGTTAGACACTTACAATTTCGCAGTTAAATGGTCGAAGTGCAAATTCTTCCAAAAAGAAATTGAATGGCTCGGTTTTAAAATATCGAAATCCGGAATCGCCCCATTATTCGATAAAACCAAGGCAATCAAAGATATTCCAACCCCAAAGAATCTAAAAGAATTAAGATCATTCTTCGGGTCAACTAATCAGTACATTAAATTTGTACCAAATCTAGCATCCCTCGGAAGCCCGCTTAGACCTCTTTTAAACAAGAAGTCAATTTTCCTTTGGAATGAAGATCACTCAAAAGCTTTTGTCAAGATTAAATCTGAAATAGTAAATCTTACCGAAAACACTCATTTCGACGTAAAAAAGCCCACGAGAATAAAAACAGATGCTTCACATAATGGATTAGGTGCATCCCTTGAACAACTTCATGAGAAAGTTTGGAAAACAGTGTCATTTGCTTCAAGATTTTTAAATCCGCACGAATCGAAATATTCAACAAACGAATTAGAGTTATTAGGAGTTGTATGGGCGGTTGAACATTACAAAAATTATCTCTATGGCTCCGAATTTGAAATTATCACCGACCACAAAGCTCGCCTTTCCGCTTTGTCACCAAATCACGGAAACAAAACATACCATAGCCGATTGACAAGATGGGTAGATCGCCTCCTACCATTCAATTTTACTATCAAACACTTAGCGGGAAAAGATATGGGTTTTACAGACTTAATTTCAAGAACTCCTTCGGGTAAAGCAATTCCCTCATCACACTACGACGAAGAATTTGTAGTTGCTACTATCAAAAAAATATATAGTGCACTCAATCCTTCGGATAATAAAAATCCATTACGTAATTCAATTAATTCGATTTCGGAAAATTCCCATTACATGAAATTACGAAATCACGTAATAAGCACAGCATTGAATTTCGTCAGCACTTCCATTTCAATCTGCAATCAAAAACATTATAGAACAGAACTTTGTAATTCTAAATGTATTCCTTCGGATTTCTCAAACACTGATTTTACTAAAATTATCCTATCAAATTCAGCTTTTATCTATTTTTTAATCCTTAACAGTAGCTTAATTAGTAATCCTTCGGATCTCAAACTTATAAATAGTGTAAATATGTCAAATAACCAAATTGTAGTAAATCCTTCCACTTCCGGGATACAGGTCTCTATCGATTTTCAAATTTCATCAGAACACAAAAGTTAGTAACTAAATTCCGAGAAAATCTCAAGTTACCCGAAAGACCTTTGGATTTAAATACATTATTCAATGCAAAATTGGTCGCTTTATTAACGGAAGATGATGAATTATTAAACCCAATTGTTAAAGCTCTACAGAAAAAAGTAGATAACATCAATGCAAATTCCCGTTATCTACACCAATTTTCGAAAGAACTTCATGAATCCGACGGACTATTATATATGGATGGAAAATTAGTTATTCCGTTTACACTTAGAAACGCCGTTTTAAAAACATTACATGAATCTCACCCTGGCCAATTCGGTATGAAATACTTGGCACAATACATTTGGTGGCCACACATATATCGACAAATTTACTTCCACGGGATTAATTGCACACAATGCACGCAAACCGGTAAGAACATAAAAAGCATCATTCCAACTTCACAAATTAGTGAACTTCCCACCTTATTTGAACCTAATGAGGAAATAAATCTTGATTTTGCCGGCCCACTAGATAACAACTGGGGAAACAATAAATACATCTTATTGTGTATAGACCGTTTTTCAAAATTCCCTTCAGCAAAAATTACATCTTCAACGTCATCAAACACAGTAATCGAACTTCTTCAAGATTATTTTTATCTCCATGGGATTCCAAAATCTATTCGGGTTGACCACGCATCCTGCTTTACTAGTCAGGATTTTAAATTATTTTGCAATTCTCTTAATATCAAACTAATATTCTGTACAGTTGGGGACCATCGTTCTAACGGTCTTGTAGAAAAACTTGTTCATACTGTAAAAATCAAATTATTAGCAATGTCACTGGATCAACAAAAACCCACATTACAAACCGCCATTTCGAAAATCATTTGGAATTTACGATCTTCCTTCCAATCTAAAATTAAATGCTCACCGTTCGAAATACACTTTAATAGAAAACCGAACACGATCTGGAAGCAATTGGCATCTAATAATTTATCCGGTGGATTTTTAGACAAAGGGAAGTCGATCTTAAGCAGAGAAAGGGCCATCGACTGGAACGCTGACGATCGGGTAGAGGACGGATACAAAGACTCCCTCATACCGAAAAAGAACCAGTCACCATTGGAGAAAGGCTATGATTCAGACCTTCCCACTACTTCAAAACCTCAATCAGCCCGAGTGTCCTTAAACAGTCCGTTTAAAGGTAAATTACTACGGAAAACTAACAGAAGTATAAACGGAAATCCCTTCTATAAACAACTAGGTCAGAAAATAATAAACTCAACAAAATCCACGGTTGAATTATCCGACGGAAAAATTATTAGAAAATCGGACATCGCCATTCCAAAGTCTAAATCTTCTACAATTCGTTCATTCAAAGGAAATATCTCCTTTCCTTTTTTCTCTAACGGTGATTTACAAGTAGGTCCAAGAAAGTCATACAAATCGAAGACACAACAGACGCGGAAACCAAACACTAAGTCAGGAAGACAAACAGTGCCGCTCACTCCGGTCACCACCAGATCTAGAGGAACGAACCAGCCTTCAAAATCCAACAAATCGAAGAAGAACCAAAATAAAGCCTCGACGTCGAATACTGGATACCTAGCAGGTGACGAATCAATGTTTATTCCGTCGGATACGTCGGACATTAGCGATTGGGAATGGATTGCGGGAGGTTTCCCATGTAGAGAAATGATAAGAAAACGCTTCATTTCAGATAACGACAATTTTAAAAAAGAACCTACCTCATCATTAGACCCTAAAACATATCAAACTAATATAAAACCTGAGATTTTAGACGAACAATCTCAACCCTCGGACACAGCGGAATGCCCAATTAGTATAAAACCAGCACTTCAGACTACCTCACATCCACCTGACGAACCTTCTACGGCTACGACAACGGAGCCGCCAAACATTCCTTCGGATTGGACAAAACCATTGGTGGGAGAAAAACCGGTCGATTTCCCAGTTTTCGAAATAGAGGACTCCTCAGACGAAATTGGAACCAGCGAGGATAGACATCCTAAGGAAACTAATACCACCGGTAACGAACTTATTTTAAGACGTTCAAGCAGAAATGTTGGCCCCCCTAAATTCTATGGTAAGCGATATTTCATAGATATTATAGATGAGCTAGAAAACCAACCAGGCTCCGCTATTAATCCTATATCTCTGGACGACGATGACAGCTCGAGCCCCCCCACACAAACTTTCAGAGAGAATCCCTTGGATAATCAGACCAACATTTGCAACACACTACCGGAAGACAGTACACCGGACTTAGCTTACACCCAATCTCCTGATCGATTCTCCATCGCCTCTACTGACGATTCTCTGAGAGATGCCGTGAACTGTTTTGAAAATTACATCGACTTAGATAGTGAAATTTTCAACGCCGAGCTGGAAAAATTTATGGAAGGGGACAGCTAAACTCAATCAAATTTTAAAACTCACATTTAGTCATTTATAATCTGTACTAGTATTTTGTCTAAAGCGCAATTAGAGCTTATTTAGCTGTAACTACGGATTACAATCCGCCGGATTTAGGAAATTTATTATCCTTTATAATTTAGTCATTCCTTTGGAGCATCAAAATGACATTTGTTATACTGTGCAGTATTTAAAATTTCATTTTGTCGTACTTCTCGAGAGGGAGAAAAAGGGATTGATAACATGTTAGGTATCAGGGCGCTTAGTAACTTAAATTTTTTCCCACTAAGGGGAATGTTGTGATTCTTACCATTTGTTTTATTTCACAAATTACTTTAAAGTATCTTAACTGGTTAATCTTGATTTGACCTTGCTATCTTCATTCTCTCCGACGGAGAGAATGACCGCTCACTTTTTATTGTTTTAACTTAGAGATTAATTCACTTTTTAAACATATCTTATTTGTAACTAAGTAGAATTAACCGTAACAAAGGAACATTTTATCACTAGGTTCAAGAGGCGGTGTTTTGAAAACATTTTCAAGCAAAATTTTCCCGTTCTTCCAAAAAAAAAATATCAGAAAAGTTTGCTTCAGCGAAGAAACCAAAAAACGAAACAAAGACAGAAATGACCTTGTAGAGCAATTTTTTGAAAGTTGCGACCAAAAGCTTTTAAGTTTTTCCAGCGCCCTTGAAAAATAAACTGACAATAGAAGTGCCTTTTAAAAAAAATTAGGGTTCTCGACCGAAAATAAATTGCGTAAAATAGTGCAAAAGGGGATCTTTTGGGTGATCAGGTGGCAATCGAGTCCCTGTGAAAGGAGCTTTTCCCTTAATCCACTTCTACTTTCTTGTGTCAGACGAAACAGTTCTCCATTAAATTCATATTTCAAAACTATTCGGCTTAATTTTGGTGTCAGTAACAAATGCCTGAAAATAAATCCTGATTTTTTATGCAATATAACTCGATTGTTTTTTACTAATGGTATGATTTTATTTAGTATCTGCATTGTTCCATGAACATATGGTTCGAATTCATTTTGGTAATGACACCTCAATTTACACATGAGAATCAATTTCATCAACAAAGCTCATAAACAAATTGTTTGCCAATGTAATGAATCAGAAATTTGTCATTGTGAAAGCACGCATCATTAATAAGACCTCAAACTCTTGATATTTGGGCTTCAAACCCATTGAAAGAACAAGTTATTTGGACTTTTCGAACTATTGTTGTAGTGCCTATGCGCTCGAAACTATTAAATCAGCTTACAAAATCATCTTGCAATTTGTGAATAAGAATAGCTCCAATAAAGATCGAGCATAACAAAAGAGTATTCAAAGATGAGCACCCCTGAAAAACTGGAGAAGTTCAAAGTAGAAGTGGTCAAATTGTTGCCCAACTATGACATGAGTAGGTGGACCGACAATGAGCTTCAAAAATGGTGCGTATTGTTTTTCATATTTAACAAAAAATTGAGAACGATTTTTTTTTGCTGTTTTTGGAATTTAACCGCAACCAAGAAAAGTTTTCCATGCAGGAAGTTTTCGGTCTGATTATGCTGAAACAGGCATTGAAGACGCTAAATAAGGGATACATTTTTAGCGGGCGATCGGTATATACACATCCCCCGTTTAGTTTTCTGTTCCCTTACTTACATTTGAGTACTATTTTTATCAAGCAACCTAAAATTATTATTTTTTTTCTTATTTTTTTTTCAATTCGCAGAGAAGGGGAAAAGTGACATTTTCATCAATACTTTCTAAAAATAAACATAAACATAATTTTTTGAAAAATTTTCGCACACAGGCTGCGGCGCTGAAATGGTTTCCAAAAAAATTACCTGCCACTCCCGTGCGCTGAAAACCTATACAGTTATACCCTGAGATCCCTGTACACATGTCATTGACAGACATTTGTGGTACGGGTAAGGATTACTTCGTTAAGAGAAATAAAAACTGATCCAATTGATCCAATTTTCTACTTAATCCAATTTTCGAAGAAAGTGCGGAATATTTATGCTTGCACCACTTTTTTTTATTCAGTCAAATTTTGTCGATCAAAATAATAAATTCTAATAACTTTTCCGTTGAAGGTATCCACTCCTTGAATTTAAGACTAAAAGATATTTTACTGCCGATTAATTTTTTAAAATTACGGGGTTTGCAAATTGCTAATTTGTCTAAGCTCTGAACTGATTTCGGCGCACTTGGAAGGTTTATTTATGATGCTGAAAGCGCAACGTAAAAATTTTTTGGGTGGCAATTTATCCTGTACTACATCGCGTTCCCATTTGAAGCAAGCTATCTGAACGTATTATTTTGGTATGACTCAAGTTGTCTTAATTAATTTACGATATTGTTCAAAAATTATGTTTTTCAACTAAAAAAACTATTTTTTGCCGATTAAGAGGCAGATGGAACATTCAAGGCTCTGTTTTGATATCCGAACTTTTTTTGTTCCGACTATCGTAAAAAAAGAAAAAACTTTTTTTTTCTTTGTATTGTAGTTTTTTAATTAGAGTTAAATTATATAACAGCTAAGCAGCATCAGTTTGGGTTGCGTTCATCGCTTCAGCACTTTTTGCAATTTGATCTGATATCTGTTTTATAACTGAAGCTTGCTCGTACTAAAAAGGTAAAAGTCTAAACGTAGCGACTTCATTTTTTTTTCAATTTTGCGATTTCATTTGTTTGGTATTTTAAAATATTGAGAGATATTGATTAAACTAGATGGAAAAACTGAAATTTGCTGGATGTTTTTGAACAGTTTCCATCGTGTTATGTACAGTGCAAAATTTTTGTTTTTAGCGTCTAGTAACCAAAAATTAAAACCAAATAGCTTGCTTCATTTCAATTTGGAGTTTTTATGAGCTGGAGTAAGGAGTCCACTACGCGTTTGGAGCCTGAAATATACTGCGTAATAATTATAACAAACCATTCGAACTTTTTTGCAATCTTTGAACCTCATACCATTGCAAAAAGTAATTACAGGTAAATGTTACTTTTATTTTTGAGCTCAAGGCATCATTATGATAAAAAGTGGTTTAAAGTTTTGTTCAAAAGTGGTTAGTTAAAATTTTTTTTAACAACTACATTGAGCATCGAGCTCAAATATTTGGTCACTTTGCTCAAAAGTCGGAACAAAATGTGACAAAAGAACTAATGTACTATCAAATTATCATTTTGAATAGTTTTTCATAAATACACAAAAACATATAACATATAACTTTAAGCTACAGTTTTTGATGGATGGGGTTTTTAAAGGAAAGTGAAAAAAAAAATCATTTTACCATCTAAAATATTGCACCTTCGATCATTTTCCTAAAATTTTGGTGATGCGCTCCAAGAAGAATTTCCATTGTCAACACGAACTCGAGAACAATAGCAATGAAATTATGATCTCTCGTGTCTACGTTTGGCAACATTATCAATCAAGCAATACTTGTGTAGGTATGTGTAAATGATTTGAGTCCTGTGTTAATTTCGTCTCTAATTTGCTGCGCGAAGTAATTTCTGGTCTAAGTGCTCAGTTGCGTGGCCTTATCAATTTAATCCTTCCTATTGAGAGCTTATCAAATTAATCCGGTCATTAACTAGTGTGGCAATAGCCTGGACAATTTTGGGACAATTTTGTCTGGGAATCAAATGTCTTGGACACTTTTTGCATTTTGGACTGTTTCTGCCGGGACATAAATGTCTGGGACACAAATGTCTTGACACGGATTGAAATGCAAAATTATGGCCGAATTGGAAAAACCAAAGCGACGATATTCTCTAGCGCGTAGCCCAAGCGGCGACATTGATTTGTCTCAGAAATCAATCCAAACTGAATTCAACTGAGGGGGGGGGGTGGGGTCCGCATTTAGTTAGGTCCGAGTTAGCTCTAATAGAGTATCAATGGTTTTTCCGGGATTGTGAAGAACACTGAATTTACAATGAAACTACATGACACAATAAATTACATAGGCTTGTAGTAATTCATGGGTCTATGTACTATGTGGTCTGATCACAATGATCACAAAAGTATTCTAAAATTAACAAAAATCCTCTACATCGTTTTTGTCCACGAATCGTATCGGTCTTCGGTCACTACATCTTTTTATTTGCTTCTTAGCACATATGCACTGATTTAGGTGGCTTCATTTTTTATTTGGACAAAATCAAGACCTCAACGGGAGTTCGAAATTTAGGGCAAAATTTAGTGCTAAATTTATATATACTCTTCCCCTTTTAGGATCAACGCGAGAGAGGGCGACGTAGATGGGGCAGTGGACCAGTTCATAAGGCACATTGAGTTCCGGAAGCTGCACAAGTTAGACGAGGGGTTCTTCCAGGACCACGTGCAGCCAGAAGTGCTGAAGAACTACTACCCAGGGGGAATATGTGGGTACTGTAAGGATGGGTACATTGTCAAGTACGAGATGCCGGGCAAACTGGACGTCAAGGTAAAGTAGAAATAGGAATCTTCATGACTCCTCGTAGTATTTGTACGGTGAAGTTTGATGCGCGTGACATGTTCCTATAGGCAATGTTTATACAAGCATTAAGAAGTCGTTCCGGGGTCTCCAAAACCTTCCTACTTTTTTCTGCAAAAGAGTTTAAAAATTTCTATATGAAAATGTTTTTTCTAATCTGTCTTCATGGTTCTTGCATAGAAACAAACATAGTATCTGAAATTTTATTTAGCATGCCTTTTCTATATTTCTTATCCCCCGATACGCGCAGGTACACGAGCATATTTTAATGGTATATTGAGCAAAATCTGAAGCATAAAACAATAACGTGGCTCAAATAAAATAACGCACGCGCTGTAATTTTTGTTATGCATAATAATTTTTGTACCTGTGCTTCGCTGAATTTTTAACAGATACACTGATATAAACAAAAATGAAACCATGCGTTTCATTGAAACTCAACTCTTAGTGCTTTTTATCAACAGAATCTTACCATAAAAAACATTAATACTTTCGAAAACAAATATTTACGAAGAAAAATTTAAATTTTGTGAACAAAATGATAACCGACAGTTACCAGCGAGAGCATGAACTTGCAGTAGAAGAGCTTCAAGAGTACGCAAAGATGCTGGATCCGTGCGCAGTATGCAATCACGTCTGTTCACACCCCGGTTGTTGGGAGGCATCAAGAAAATACGTGCGACAACTGATCCGACTTGTACAGCATGGTGACTATGATCCGGAACTCATTTTCGAAGCCCAAAAAGCACAGCAGCTCGAGTTCGAAAAACAGCGCCGGATCAAACTTGCATCTAAATCACGACAGCCGCTCGCTACACAGAAAGTGTACAACTTGAATGAACAGTTTAGTGTTTCTTTTGATGGAAAATCATCGCTTCAAACTCAAGGTAGTATGGTGTCCCAAATATCAATGGAACTTGATTTGGATCAGCACCCAACAAGCAGAGCGGAGCAACAAATTCAAACTTCGCTGGCGCCTTCGCGTGAAGTAAACCGTCGCAAATCATTCGGCTCGGCCGTATCGTCTGCGAGCTCAGTCAAGTCGGGTCAAATGGAAGTCACTGAGCCAAAAAGTAAAACAGCCGACGATCAAAGATCAGATCAGCTTTCGTCAATTTTTACTCCCCCGGTCGCCGCTTCGCCCAAGGAAGAAACTCAAATTTTGAAAGAAATAGCGAATTTACCGTCATTGCCACCAAGTCCACAAATTCTTTCGACAAATAAAATAGACCCTCTTTCGGGCTTCAAAAACAAACGAACACCCGATACAGTAATGATCTGGGTGGCCCCGAAACGAGTAAGCGAGCCGAAGTACCGTGAACAGATTTTCGTCATGACACGAGAAGGAAAAGCTACAGTGCCGAACAAAAATGTGACCAATCAAATGCTTCCGCCAGGATACGAGCCGGAGAATAAGTTCACCCTTGGAGGTAGTTTCGAGCGGGAAAAGACGATTCCAGTGACAGCTCGTCGATCTCAACAGAACACAACTCGCGTTATCCCTGTTCAAGAGGAAGTTATAATTGAGTTGCTCTCGCTTCCCAAAGAAATTTTATCTCAAGTTTTGGAGCAAGTTACAGCCATTGATTTGTTGACGCCAGCGAAAACCAACGAGGTTATTGAGGTGATTATATCACAATTACATAATGCCCGAGCTTTAGAATTGTCTCGTGTCGCTGACGAATGCGTTGTAAGCAAACCAGTGCCAATTTACAATCACGACGCTAAAAAATACCACGAGCAAGTTAAACATGTCGAGGCTGATCCAGTTGTAGGTTTGAAACTAACTCATCGAAACATGAACACCGAAAACGCTTCAAAACCGGGCAATTATTCCCGTGTTCCGGACTGGATTCGAGAACAAGCTATAAGTAGAAGTCATAATTTTGCTAATCAGAGTAGTAACAAACTGTCCAAGGTCAGCTTTAGTTCGTTGCCTCCTTTGAGGACCGACCTTGGAGGCAGGTACAACAGATCCAAATCAATTCGGAGACACTACCCGAGTTTGGATTCGCCCTTGCAGCGAGGACTCATTCCTCAAAGTAGCCCGAAGCCTCGTTCAAAACCGAGCTCACGACTCACTTCGGCACAGAGCAAGTTGTCGCAAATATCGGCAGCTCTTGCGACGCTACCATCGACACCTTACAGTCAATATCGAAACATTTTGGAGCGAAAGCAATCGGCGTTGTCGTCGGGAAGTATCGGAGAATCGCGGGGTGCTCCAAAGACTCCGGATACGTATATCTCGGCGACTTCAAACGAATGGCCGGTGGGTGATGAACTCGACTATTTTCTTTCCGAGTCACAAACAAGGAAACAACAAACACCTGAAAAATCTGCGTCGGGAAAACGTCAAGAAATAGCAATGACTGTTATTCCAGCTTTGGGTCAATATCCGAGCGTACCTCCGCCGAGTCCTGACGTCTCAGTTCGGAAACAAACTTCGGCTTCTGTAGCTGAAGCAGCCGAATCTAAAAGACCATTGTCGGTTGAGAGCGAAAACCGAGAAATAAATACTGTCAGCTCCAGAGCCGAAGTTGAAACGACTTCAAAAACAAACCAGGAGGAACAATTCCTCAGTGATGATTCTGCTAAGCATCTCACCCTTGGAAAAGAATCTGTCGAAAAACTTATCCTTACACCTGCTCCGACAACTTTGTCCGCTATAAGCGAAAGCTCAATTGACAGCGTTGGTGAAATCGGCTCTGCAGGCAGGCAGCCGAAAGACAAAGCTGTCGAAATGGTGACCAAAACCGAATCAGTTGTCAACGAAATCAGCTCGAACTTATCCAACGAAAACCAAGACAAGCCTGATGAAACTACATTTGTTAAGTCACAAATTATAGACAGCAACGCTAGTTTGCTGGGAAAGATCGACAACATTGCTGCCCAAGAAATCAGTGCGGCTAGCTTTTCTCAGACTTCTTCCCTGAATAAAATATCACTGGCTGATATTCCGGATATAGAAGACGACAGAGAGCCACTGACTATGGAAGACACAATGAGAAGAGCCAAGGTTCTTTCGGCTAGAAAAACTGTGCGATTTGACGAGAATAAAAACTAAAGTCTTGGGATCTCTTCAACTATCCCCCCCTAGCAACAAATTCAGACCCTTTCAAAAGCAAGGGAAATAGTAAGGGAGATCCAATCTTTGAAATAGAATCAGCAAATTGCGTCTTACGAAATATTTTTCAGTTAATAGAAATTTCTCACCGCAAACTTTAAGTTAGTTGTTCCTCTAGATCCTTTTCAATCTCACCAAAGCATAGACCGACCAATCATAATTAAATCTAAGGCCGAGCATATTCGAAATATTGGTCCGAAACAGCCAAAGCTTAGGTCCATCACAGTCGAAACGCTGGTAAAAACTTATCGAAAAATAGGTTGACTCAGTCAAAAAATAGGTGCAGCAAAAAATAGGTGATCGAGGGGGGGGGGGGGGGGGGGGGGATTTTCAAAAAATTACTTTTTTTAGTTCGGATCAAATTGATTTTTGACCTCTCCCAAGCACTAAAAAAATCCCAGTTTTGGCCAAATAATCTGCGCCACAGGCAAAATTTTAAAAATTTAGGCCAAAAAAAGGCGTTTTTAGGCACTTTTTGGATAATTTTGACCAAACCAAAAAATCGCGTTTTTTCCGCGCGCGCTCTCCCCTCAAAATTAGTGTATATTGGCGCCAAAGGCGCCTTTAGAAAATTTTTGAGGTCCGTCACCAAAAATGGATATTTCAAAATCGTAAAAAGGGGAAAAAGGGGGGACCTTTTGGGTCGGCAGGGGGTGGAATATGGAATACCTAAGGAAAGAAAAGCGTCCCCCGTCGCCCTAAATCTGCCCCTGAATACAATAAAAAAGTTTGCTTTTGAACTGCGAATTTTTTAAATCAATGAAAGTAACGAAAATCAGAAAACTAAAAAAATTCATTCCATTCTAAATGAAGCTGCAATTTTTTTGGATTGGTTTTATAGAAGTTTGCTATCAGCCGAGCGGGTTGAAACATCAAAACATGCACATTCGTGCCTATTTCAATCGCTCAAAAATTTAGACACATTTTTGATCTGACCCTTTGAAAGTGGTAAAAATTACCTTCAGGTGTGTTTTGTCTTTTCACACCGAAAATTAGTTTGAAACTGTTACGTTTTGGTCTAATATCGAACGAGTAAAGCAAGGTGTGTAGGTGTTATACTAGGAAGGACAAAACGCGTTTTAGAAGACAAGAAAAAAAACCCTATTTTTTTACTTAAAAATGTTTTTTCGAAGATTCATTCAGTCTACTCTTCGAAATGTTTCTCAAAAATGTTCCAAAAAACAAACAAATAGTCAAATAGGCCAAATATTTTCATGTTCTAAGCTTTTGTCTAGTTTCTCCTGTTGCACCACGAACAAAATTGACCAAAATTTGAACAAAAAGTATCTTTTTAGTGCGGTTGGAAATTTCTGTGACCAAAATTTTTTCAAGGCAGTCAAAAAACCGAACTTGCATTTAGAAAACTAAATCACACTTAAGATCCCTCACACTTCAGGAAGCGCCAGAACACATTTATTGTGACCTAAAAGGGTTACACGTTACGCAGCCAAAGTGTGCACTGAATAGGCGCACAATTTGGTGTATGCAGGAAAGCAAAATCCAGAGACAAGTCTTTGAACATTTGCTAAAATGGGAGTGGATACCATTTTCGAAATTTCCGTGGATTCCGCGTACAAATACCTGTAACGCAATTGTGTTACGGTACATTTGTTTGGTCACAGATTCTGCAACAAGCTTACATAGCTGGTTGTTCTGGAGTCCGCAACTGTCAACGAGTTCCGCAAAAAAAGATTGCGTTTTTGCTTACGTATTCCGCTAACAATTAAGAATTCCGCAAAAGCGTAACATTTAATCTTATTTGTGGAGCAATTTTGAGCAAAACAGAGCTTTAACTATCTGATTATGGAATCCAAACAGCAAAGAAGATCAAAGAAAAATAGCAATGTCTCGGGTCATGCTACAAAACTATTTTCGGCCATTAGCGGAACTATGATACAGTTCCCAAATTTTACAGTTTGGCCTCGTAATGTAGCATTTTTTAGAAATTTTTTAGCTTACAATCTCGTTGAAGTATTAGTTTTTGCCTCTCTTTTGTCCTATTGAAGATTATTGTTCCGACTTTCGTAACGAAAGTAACGGAATATTTGTGCTCGGGTGGTTTTTTTTCTTCATACAAACTCCATTTTCTAACTAGCCAATTTTGACGGGATTTTTTTTTATATCATTCAAAAAGTATTGTTGTCCTGAGCTTAAATTTGAAAAGAATTTTGACCTGTGATCGTTCTTCGTAAAGTTATGGGGGTTTGAAGATTGCCATTTTGACTTATTAACGCGCTATTAACGCGTAAGCGGAGATTTAATCCGTCTTAGAAATCGTTCAAAATTGGTTGAAGGGAGCTTATTTGCCATAAAATGATTATTTATCACTTTGTACTTAATATGGCGTGTGGGGGGATGAATATCACAAACAAATCTCAAATTAAAAGAAAAAAATTCCATTTTCGTTTATTGCATTTAATTTTTTCATGTTATTACTGCTTCATAGACGTTAAGAGGCAGTCGGAACATTCAGGGCATCACCCTGATACGAGCAGTCCTGTTTGTATTCTGTTTGCAATTTACAACAACCATTAGTCATTCAGAATTTCAACCTATTGTTTAATTTTTTTAAATTTTGTTGTTGTGGAGCGCTAAATTAAATGCTTTCATACTTTGCTCTACTTTAATTTTCATTTTCACGTTTATTAAGGAAACAACAGATTTCGAATGCATCAATTGAGTTTCGCCCACAAGACGAACAGAAAGCTTCTTGTAGCTTCTTGTAGTTATCAAAGAAAATATACTTGCTTACCATGTAAGAATTGTTGATTGACAACACATTTTATTCCTAAGTTCCTACATTTCATCGCTTCAAACCGGTCTAAGAATTTTGTTCTCGGCTTGTTTTGTTTGCTGCAGATCAACTTCGTAGTTAATGTTCCTACGTACGAAGAAAATGACGCATAACTTCTGCTCTTAATTATTCTTTCAGATAACTTATAACTAGCCATTTTTGAACGGATATTTTTGTCATCTGAAGGTTATTGAAAAGTAGGAACGAATTTAGAGGTTTAGAGCCAATTACCAGCCTCATAAAAAGCGAACTCCCGGGGGTAGCTACTTGTTAGGCTGAACAGCCTGTTCTAGCTACCCTGATGCAGTGAATGATTTTGCAGATCGTACTTTCTTCACTGTAACGAATAAACGATTTGATTTGAGTTGAACTCAAAAAAACCGAACTTAATTTAAACGGCAGTGCAATCATTCAGGGCTTAGACTTGATACAAAAACTCTCAGACTTAACGAGTTTTATTTTCACGTTTATGAAGGAATTAACGGATTTCAAGTCACTTCTTAATCAGTTGCATTTTTGCCATTTTTTTTTCAGTTTTGATTTCTGTTTAGGGTCTGTTGATGTCAGTTTCTGACGAGGAGTTCCTCAATCACGCCATTTACATGGCAGAGTCCCTGTTGGATGGGGTGAACAAGCGATCCAAGGAGACGGGTCAGTGTCTAGACAAGTGGACAGTGGTGATAGACGCAGAGGGGTTTAGTGTCAAGCAGATGACGAAGAATGTTCTAGAACGACAGAAGATCATAACCAAAATATTCGAAGGCAAGCCACGCTACTTTTTATTTAACGTTTTTCATTTATCATTATGTCTCATAACGCCCTAAGCTATCTATCGCCCAAAAGTCTGTCTGGAAAAAAAATTCAAATAATTGATGAACAATTGTCGAAAGAAAAAGTCAATTTTGATCAGCGCAAACCATAATCCAACAAGAGTGACCTTCTGTAGCGCAATTGGCAGAGAAAGTTCATAAGTACAAATGAAAAACTGTTAAATCATTTGTGTAATTTTTTGCGAGGTGTGATGAGAGGAGATAGACGGAAACTTTGAACCCAAGTAAATTAGGCACCATTGACTCCATTTGTCTTATAATAAAATGTTTCCAGCAGAGGTTCACATTGATCAACATAAATTATATAAATGAACACTTGAAAGAACCCAGTCTGGTAGATCGTCATTAGACAAATTCTGCCTATTTTCAGACGGTTCTTTTTCACGACTTACATAAAGCTGTTCCTAGTTTTACAAACCTACTTGTTCGTTTGTACTCGCTCAAAGTTATACAGAAACGTGAAAATTTTCAGAGGGGTCAATATTTAGCGAATACGATTTCCAAAAGGGGGATAAGCTTAGTAAAAGCGGCCTATGAAACCAGCGTATAATTTTTATAGACAACTACCCGGACAGATTAGCCTCAACTTACATCGTTAATTGTTCACGTCTGTTCAAACTACTTCTTAACGTGATGAAAGTGACAATGGATCCGAGCACCTTTAGCAAGATCACAGTCCTTACTTCGAAGGATCAGATAGCCGACTACATAGACAGGGAACAGCTGCCTGCCAGGTATGGAGGGTTGATCAAAGAGGATGGGTTGTGTGATGGAGGGAAGATACCCGAGAAATTCTACCAGGTGGAGAGACTGTTGAACTCTACGAAGAGCTGGCCCAGATTCGACGTCAAGGTCAGTCGATTTCTAGTTACGGATTAATTTGAGATACTTTTGACAACCTATTGCTTTGAGATTCTTTTGACAATCTATTGTGCTTTGAGACACTTTTGACAATCTATTGATCTATTGTGCTTTGAGATACTTTTGACAATCTATTGTGCTTTGAGATACTTTTGACAATCTATTGCTTTGAGATACTTTTGACAATCTATTGTGCTTTGAGATATTTTTGACAATCTATTGCTTTGAGAAATTTATGACAATCTATTGTGCTTTGAGAAACTTTTGACAATCTATTGTGCTTTGAGATACTTTTGACAATCTATTGCGCTTTGAGATACTTTTGACAATCTATTGCTTTGAGATACTTTTGACAATCTATTGTGCTTTGAGATATTTTTGACAATCTATTTATTTGATTTTCTTTTGACAAACTATTGCTTTGAGATACTTTTGACAATCTTTTGCTTTGAGAAACTTTTGAGAATCTATTGTGCTTTGAGATACTTTTGACAATCTATTGTGCTTTGAGATACTTTTGACAAACTATTGATCTATTGTGCTTTGAGATACTTTTGACAATCTATTGTGCTTTGAGATACTTTTGACAATCTCTTGTGCTTTGAGATACTTTTGACAATCTATTGCTTTGAGATTCTTTTGACAATCTATTGTGCTTTGAGACACTTTTGACAATCTATTGATCTATTGTGCTTTGAGATACTTTTGACAATCTATTGTGCTTTGAGATACTTTTGACAATCTATTGCTTTGAGATACTTTTGACAATCTATTGTGCTTTGAGATATTTTTGACAATCTATTTATTTGATTTTCTTTTGACAAACTATTGCTTTGAGATACTTTTGACAATCTTTTGCTTTGAGAAACTTTTGAGAATCTATTGTGCTTTGAGATACTTTTGACAATCTATTGTGCTTTGAGATACTTTTGACAAACTATTGATCTATTGTGCTTTGAGATACTTTTGACAATCTATTGTGCTTTGAGATACTTTTGACAATCTCTTGTGCTTTGAGATACTTTTGACAATCTATTGCTTTGAGATACTTTTGACAATCTATTGTGCTTTGAGATATTTTTGACAATCTATTGCTTTGAGAAATTTATGACAATCTATTGTGCTTTGAGAAACTTTTGACAATCTATTGTGCTTTGAGATACTTTTGACAATCTATTGCGCTTTGAGACACTTTTGACAATCTATTGTGCTTTGAGATACTTTTGACAATCTATTGTGCCTTGAGATACTTTTGAAAATCTATTTATTTGATTTTCTTTTGACAAACTATTGCTTTGAGATACTTTTGACAATCTTTTGCTTTGAGAAACTTTTAAGAATCTATTGTGCTTTGAGATACTTTTGACAATCTATTGTGTTTTGAGATACTTTTGACAATCTATTGCTTTGACATACTTTTGACAATCTATTGTGCTTTGAGATACTTTTGACAATCTATTCTCTGAGATACTTTTGATGATCTATTGTGCTTTGAGAGACTTTTGACAATCTATTGCTTTGAGATACTTTTGACAACCTTTTGTGCTTTGGGGTACATTTGACAGTCTATTGCTTTTAGATACTTTTGACAATCTATTGTGCTTTGAGTTCCTTTTGAAAATCTATTGATTTGATGTACTTTTGACAATCTATTGCTTTGAGATACTTTTGACAATCTATTGGGCTCTGAGATACTTTTAAAAACCTATTTTGCTTTGAGCTAGTTTTGTTAATCTTTTGCTTCGAGATACTTCTGACAATCCATTGTGCTTTGAGATACTTTTGACAATCAATTACTTTGAGATACTTTTGACAATCTTTTGTGCACTGAGATAGCTTTGACAATCTTTTATTTTGAGATATTTTTGACAACCTATTATACTTGGAGATACTTTTGACAATCTATTGCTCTGGAAGACTTTTGACAATATATTGTGCTTTGATGTACTTTTGACAATCTATTGCTTTGAGATACTTTTGACAATCTATTGTGCTCTGAGATACTTTTAAAAACCTATTTTGCTTTGAGCTAGTTTTGTTAATCTTTTGCTTCGAGATACTTCTGACAATCTATTGTGCTTTGAGAGACTTTTGACAATCTATTGCTTTGAGATACTTTTGACAAACTTTTGTGCTTTGGGGTACATTTGACATTCTATTGCTTTTAGATACTTTTGACAATCTATTGTGCTTTGAGTTCCTTTTGAAAATCTATTGATTTGATGTACTTTTGACAATCTATTGCTTTGACTTACTTTTGACAATCTATTGTGCTTTGAGATACTTTTGACAATCTATTCTCTGAGATACTTTTGATGATCTATTGTGCTTTGAGAGACTTTTGACAATCTATTGCTTTGAGATACTTTTGACAACCTTTTGTGCTTTGGGGTACATTTGACAGTCTGTTGCTTTTAGATACTTTTGACAATCTATTGTGCTTTGAGTTCCTTTTGAAAATCTATTGATTTGATGTACTTTTGACAATCTATTGCTTTTAGATACTTTTGATAATCTATTGTGCTTTGAGTTCTTTTTGAAAATCTATTGATTTGATGTACTTTTGACAATCTATTGCTTTGAGATACTTTTGACAATCTATTGTGCTTTGAGATACTTTTGACAATCTATTCTCTGAGATACTTTTGATGATCTATTGTGCTTTGAGAGACTTTTGACAATCTATTGCTTTGAGATACTTTTGACAACCTTTTGTGCTTTGGGGTACATTTGACAGTCTATTGCTTTTAGATACTTTTGACAATCTATTGTGCTTTGAGTTCGTTTTGAAAATCTATTGATTTGATGTACTTTTGACAATCTATTGCTTCGAGATACTTCTGACAATCCATTGTGCTTTGAGATACTTTTGACAATCTATTACTTTGAGATACTTTTGACAATCTTTTGTGCACTGAGATAGCTTTGACAATCTTTTATTTTGAGATATTTGTGACAACCTATTATGCTTGGAGATACTTTTGACAATCTATTGCTCTGGAAGACTTTTGACAAAATATTGTGCTTTGAGATACTTTTGACAATCTATTTTTTAAGATACTTTTGACAATTTTTTGTGCTTTGAGATTCTTCTGAGTATTTAATGCTTGGAGGCAACTTTGACCATCTTCTGTGCTTTGAGGTACTTTTGACAGTCAATAGCTTGGAGATATTTTTGACATCCTAATGTGCTTTGAGATACTTTTGACAATCTTTTGTGGTCTGAGATACTTTTTACAATCTGTTGCTTTGAGATACGTCTGACAATATAGTGTGCTTTGAGATTTTTTAGACAATCGATTTGCTTTGAGATACTTTGGACAACCTCTTGTGCTTTGAGATTTTTTTTCACAATCTATTGTTCATTGAGATACTTTTGACAATCAATTGCCTTGAGTTACTTTTGACAACCTATTGCTTTGAAATACTTTTAACAATATTTTGTGCTTTGAGATACTTTTGACTATCTTTTGCTTTGAGATATTTTTGACAATCTATTGTGCTTTGAAATGTTTTTGCCAATCTATTGCTTAAGATACTTTTGACAATTTTTTGTGCTTTCAAATTCTTCTGACAATTTTTTGCTCTGAGGCAGTTTTGACCATCTACTGTGCTTTGAGATACTTTTGACAGTCAATAGCTTTGAGATATTTTTGACAATCTAATGTGCTTTGAGATACGTTTGACAATCAATTGCGGTTTGAGATACTTTAGACAATCTATTGCTTTGAGATACGTCTGACAATATATCGTGCTTTGAGATTTTTTAGACAATCGATTTGCTTTGAGATACTTTGGACAACCTCTTGTGCTTTGAGATTTGTTTCACAATCTATTGTGTTTTGAGATACTTTTGACAATCTTTTGCTTTGAGATACTTTTGACAATATATTGTGCTTTGAGATATTTTTGCCAATCTATTACTCAGAGATACTTTTGACAACCTTTTGTGCTTGGAGATAATTTTGACAAAATATTGCTCTGAATGATTTTTGACAACATATTGTGCTTTGAGATACTTTTGACAATCTATTGCTTTGAAATACTTTTGATAATTTTTTGTGCTTTGAGATTTTTCTGACAGTTTATTTCTTTGAGGCAATTTTGACCATATACTCTGCTTTGAGATACTTTTGACAGTCAATAGCTTTGAGATATTTTTGACAATCTATTGCGCTCTGAGATACTTTTGACAATCTATTGTGCTTTGAGATACTTTTGACAATCCATTGTGCTTTGAGATACTTTTGACAATCTATTGCTTTGAGATACTTTTGACAACCTATTATGCATGGAGATACTTTTGATAATCTATTGCTCTGGAAGACTTTTGACAGTATATTGTGCTTTGAGATACTTTTGACAATCTATTTTTTAAGATACTTTTGACAATTTTTTGTGCTTTGAGATTCTTCTGACAATTTATTGCTTGGAGGCAATTTTGACCATTTATTGTGTTTTGAGATACTTTTGACAGTCAAAAGCTTGGAGATATTTTTGACAATCTAATGTGCTTTGAGATACTTTATTCAATCTATTGTGGTCTGAGATACTTTTGACAATCTATTTTTTAAGATACTTTTGACAATTTTGTGTGCTTTGAGATTTTTCTGACAGTTTATTTCTTTGAGGCAATTTTGACCATATACTCTGCTTTGAGATACTTTTGACAGTCAATAGCTTTGAGATATTTTTGACAATCTATTGCGCTCTGAGATACTTTTGACAATCTATTGTGCTTTGAGATACTTTTGACAATCCATTGTGCTTTGAGATACTTTTGACAATCTATTGCTTTGAGATACTTTTGACAACCTATTATGCATGGAGATACTTTTGATAATCTATTGCTCTGGAAGACTTTTGACAGTATATTGTGCTTTGAGATACTTTTGACAATCTATTTTTTAAGATACTTTTGACAATTTTTTGTGCTTTGAGATTCTTCTGACAATTTATTGCTTGGAGGCAATTTTGACCATTTATTGTGT